AATAAACCAAATCAACTCTAATAAATTAATAACCCTGATTAAGAAATCTAATTTGAAATGATTAAAAATAATTTAAAACATCTAATTAAATTGTCTAAAACACAGAAGAAACATACTCTCTACTTCAACACGTAAACTACTAGTCATGACTACTATAATTCCAATTGTTGAATACTGTTCCTTAGTTTTGATTGACTTATCCAAAAGGCTAGACTACAAACTTCCCTACTAGACTACAAACATCACTCCCTACAGGCACTCATTAAACTGGCTCACGGTTAAATCTAAACGAATGTACTCGTTAGCGTGCTTCATCTACAAGCTTCTGAAATCAGGTGAACCAAAGTTCCTTAGAAGTCTCTTCATTGAAGAATCTACAGATATTAGAAGATCGGAAAGAATTGCTGCTAAACAAATTAATGTGTCTTTTAAAATGTCCAATTTCTCAACTATTACTTTTGAACATTCCTTTGTAGTTTCTGCGATCCGAATTTGGAGGGACTTACCATTTCAAGTCACAAATTCACTTAGCTTAAATTCTTTTAAAATCAGTACTTTTGAATTCTTCATGAAACGTGAACGAGAAAATGAACCTTAATTTCTAACTTTTAAAGAAGAAAATGAATCCTAATTTTCAAACCGTTTATACACTTTTTCACATTTCTGTTTACATAAGTTTATTGTTCTAGATCATCTCAGATTATCATCTTCTATAATTTGTATATTTTGTATCACTGAGTTAAACTGTTAAATTTTTTAAATTTTTAATACTCAATTTTTTATCCTCAAATTTATTTTCTTTGTTTTATTTGTCAAATTTGTATTCCAAATTAAGAAAATAATATTTCATAAAAAATAATCAATTTTTATATCTAATATTTTCTAAACTAATAGATATCTAATTTTTTCTAAACTTTATATCTTCATTAGACTTACGTGTACTTTATTATAACTCTTTTTGTATACTTTTGCCATCTGGCTATACTGCCTTGACATTGAAATGAAATAATAATAATAAAAAAAAATAATTTGAATACTATATAAATATACAATTTTTAATTAAAATGTAAATTTTTTAATTATAAATTTTAAGATAATTGGTTTTTTGAGAACTTTTTATTTGTTTTATCAGAATAATAATTGCAAGTGTCAATCAACTAGATCAGTGTCAATAACTGGGTCTTCTTTTACTCTAAAAAAATAAATACTTGAATCATTAAAAATCAACTGATACCAAAAGTTAAGAGACCTGATAATTTTTTTTTTTTTTTTTGCAAGTAATAATTTAGGTTTAGAAATCTTAAAAATTAACAGATTGTTAACTTGTGTATCATACTTATAAAATTGCCTTTAATTTAGAAATTGATAGACATAATTATTTATTTATTTATTTATTTATTTATTTATTCATTTATTTACGAGTAAATTAACATGAGTGCAAAATATTGAAAGTGAAATTGTAATTTTTTCACGGCTGTAATTTATTTATTTGTATAGTAGAGTGAAAAAAATTTTTTTCTGATTTTGTATGTATACATATCAAATTAAATTAAGTTATTTGTTAATTTAGTTATTTAGTTGTTAATTCGTTGATATGTACAAAAATTATTTATTTTATATAAAATTTATTTGTTATTCCTAACTTATAAAATAATTAAATATAATATTATTAAAATAATTATATTAGAACCTTAATTAAACTTTCAATTTTTTCTTAAATAATTTAATAATATTCATTATAAAAAGAAAATCATTATAATTTTATAAAATTTTAAATTTAATTATTCAAGACTTAAAAATTTTTTTTAAAATTAGCAATTTTATTTTTTTATCATTTTTTATTATTTATTAAAAATTTTTTAATACTCCCTGATTCAAGCGCCAATATTTAAATTTATCCCAATAATAAACAAAAGTAATAATTCAAAATAAAACTTAACATATATTTAACTTGAAAATAAAATTTTTAGAGACTAAAAATAAAATTTCCTTAGACTAAAAATTAAATTTGTCTAGACTTCAAATTATTTATAAATTTTTAATGTCATCTCCTTTTGTTATTAGAAATAGAAAAGTTAAAAGTACAATCAAAACTAAAATCTAATTCCATTTCAGAGTGCATGACCAAGTAAAATTAGAAATAGACAAAATGATAACCTAGTTAGAAACCCATTAACCGTCCCTATAATGACCTGTGCCAATTGTCTGCCACAATAAGGACAGAACAATAGTGTAAGATTTTGGGGTATGTATCGGTCCCTCCAAAGATGCCATTGGCCTAAAAGAGTCGCATGAACCCTATATAAGTATCGCAAACTTCAGAACTAAGTTAGTTTTTCATCAGAATCTCTAGTTTTCACATCTCAATTTCAAGCGACAAATATTAAATCGCTGTCTCTCCAGTAAACACTAGCTTCAGTTCAACAAGTGAAAAACTAACTTCTATCCGTTTAAATTCAAAGAAAATCCACGTGTTTGTGAAAGAAATCAGTGATTTTCCGAAGAAAATAATAAGTTAACAATTATGGAGGCCCAAAAAAATTTGTTCAATGCTATCATCTCCGGAAATATGAGAAAAGTTATTAAATTATCAAGGAAATATATCTTTAGTAGTGCTAAATTCAGTTTTTTAATATTATTAGCAATCAGATCCAATCAATTCGAAATCGCGCAGCTGTCGTTGGCCGAAATAAGTGTTGATACAAATAAGAATAAAAAGAGAATAAATAATTCATTAACAGCTCCGTTTATATACTCAGTTTGGCGTAATAATTTGGAAATGGTGAAAAGTCTGGTAAAAATGGGTGCAAATGTGAATTTCCAAACAGCGAAAGCAGGTACTGCACTTCATTTCGCCGCTATTCGCAATTATGCCGTCATAATTAAGTATTTATTGAAACACGGAGCAGATGCGACTTTAGAAGGTTGCGGAAAATGCAATCCTGGATTCACACCTTTACACCACGCTTGTGAAAAGGGTCGTTTTAAAATCGTTAGAATATAAGACAAAATCAAGGATAACTCCACTTATGATTGCCGCCAAAGGAAGGAGTATGAAAATATTTTCATTTATTTTGGCCTATAACCGAAAAGTAAACGAAAAAGATAATTTTGGAAATACTGCTTTGCACTATATTTATTTTGATAAGAATGCGCATCTAAGATATGTTTGTTCTGAAGATCGCAATCGTCGGATGGACCACCCGAAAAATTCATTTTTTGGTTCATGCAGGAGCTGATGTTACTGCTAAGTGTTCTTTTGGATTTCTTCCGAATTTAACATCAGTTCTAGACCAAGCGATCTATTTCGGCGGCTCTGAAGAAGTGCAGTATCTTCTTTATAAAACTGAGGTCGGAATTGAGCAGCTGGATTATTCTAAAGTCGAATTAGCGGCTTACGATCTAATTGCAGAAGCTCGAGACGAAACACAACGCAGTCCCGAGATGATAAACGTCCTGAGAAATATTGCCAAGAAGATCCAATGTTTTTTGGTGGCTTTTATCATTAATCGGAACGAAATAGGAATCAGTGCAACAGAGCTCCTAGGATACTTTGGAGAAGACTAAAGCACTGGAGGAAAGAATTATTGAAGAATTCTGGTGCCGTGGATTGTACTTGGCCATCAGGATGACAATGATTCAAGAGTATGAATTTTTAAAAAGTCAAAAAATTGGACTCTCTGAAATTACCTGCTGGGACTTTGATGTGATCCGAGACCAAGAACATTGTGTGAAATTTATGTTCAATGAAGATTTGCTAGCGGGATTCTATCCACAACAATAGGGAGCTCTCAGTAATAGCTGCACGTTTTATTATTACCATGAATTGTTCAAGAACAAATTTGGGCGTGCATATTGTAAACGCGTGATACTGACTGAAGCTATTGAGATTATACATGAAATAGTGGGCAATCAGTTATCGTATGACTGTTGCGAACTTATTGCATACAGTATGTCGAATGAAGAGCTGGAAAATTTTGTGGTAAAATTTTACCCACCATCGTTAGAAAATGTTTATGATGGGATGAGGATATTTTAAACAAATTTTTAAGCTCATTGTGTCAGTTTTTAAGTTATTGTAAATTGTAAATAGATCCCGACGTAAGAATCTCGCACAATAGATGCTAGAACAACGTTTCACCCAGCAGTCATCGTCGTCCCTTAATTACATTGGCATTCATTACCTGTCTCATTCCGTAATCTTCATTAGGTTACTAATACTTGTAGTTGTATATAATATAAATAAGTATACTTATTTATATTATATTTATACTCATATATGAGTGGTATATATGAAATATATACATCGAGTCTTATATAAGTAAATTGTTAAGCTTGTTTATTTTTTGTAAATACATTGTTAAGTTTTTTCACTTATATGTCAAAAGAAAAAAGGAATGTATCATAGTTTTTAAAAAACTATATATTAAGTTTATTCGTTATTCAATTTTTTGTAAATAAATTGTTAAATTTGTTAATTATTTTATTTTTTATAAATAAATTGTTAAATTTGTTAATTATTTAATTTTTTATAAAAAAATTGTTAAGTTTGTTAATTATTTATTTTTTTATAAATAAATTTGTTGAATATTTATAATTATTTTTATTATTTTTGATACCCATCAATGATTTTTATTTTTTCTCAATACACTAAAACAGTTTTTTATTTATAATTTTTTATATTATCTAAACATGGAATTTTTTAATAAATTTATCTTGCTGTAATTTATTTATTTATTTAAAAAATTATCAAAAATCTGTTGAATTAATTTATAAATTTAAAATTTCCCGCACTTTTTAAATTTCGCGCGTTTTTTCATAGAAAAGAGCTACTAGCGCCAACGTGGCAGTCAATGAGGTTAAGTACGCTGTAAACAAACTTACCAAGTTTACCAAGAACAGTGTTCGGTGTTTGTTGTTATTCTGAAGATCAGACTAATATATAATTTTATGTAATTACATGTCAATTGTCATAAGAATAATTAAATTTAAAAGAAAAAATGTTTTCAACGAGTACGCAAAAAAAATATTGGATTTTTTCAGATGAAAAAGATCTCACCGCTTTGAGGCAAAAAGCAAATGCTGCTTATGTTGATAAATATGGTTCAAAAATGACAGTATGTATTTATAATTAAATATTTCTTTAATTACAATTAAATTTTTTTGTAATTTTATTATTTTTTAAGTAATATTGAAATCAGCTGATACTTGTCAAATTTTTTTAAATTTATTACACTAATAGAAAGGCTTAAAAAAAATTAATTTACTTTTTATGAAAAGTCATTAATAATTATTTGCACTTAATAATTTATTTTTTTATTTATAGCCTGAAGAAAGAGAGCTGTATTTTTTATCTGACACAGAAGAACGAATGCTGTTAAGATTTTACGAACTACAACTACGAGATTTTTGTAAAAGATTTTCTCCACAAATGCCAAGAGCTACAATCGCAACAGCTTTGCATTATTTCAAAAGATTTTATTTGAGAAATAGTGTGATGGATTATCATCCCAAGGAAATACTTGTCACTTGCGTTTATTTAGCAACAAAGGTATTATATTTTAAGTCAGTAATTATTGTTGATTTTTTTTTTTTTTTTTTTTTTTTTTTTAATGATAAATAAAATTAAAAGAAATTTTATTATTTTTTATACAAATAAATGATGACAAAAAAATTTTAACAGTAAAAATTGTAAGACTACATATATAATTTTTAAAAAATAATTTATTTCTTAATAAAAAAGGCCATTCGGCAGCCGACATGGAAGTAGATTTTTCAAATAAAGAAAATTGATTTTTAATAAAATAATATAATAACACTAACAATGGGTAACTTAATTCATGAATTAAAAAATAAATTCAATAATGAATTGAATACTATTTGGAACAAACTTTGGAAAAAAAATTATCTTGTGAAGAAAAAGTTTCTAAAATATTTACCAAAGAATTGCAAAGATTATAAGATTGTATTTATAAATGTCCAAATTTTAAGTAACTGCTTAGAAACAACAGTTTCCGAGTTAATCAGAATTTTGAAACCAGATAAAATTTTAATTGAAGAAAACAATGTTTAAAACTAATTTGTGACATATTTACTGACAACCTACTCGAAAACATTACACGAAAGACTGATCAATATCGTAATTATTGAATTTACATCATAAGATTATAAGCTATGATGCAGATAATAATTCTAAAACGGCTGCAACAGTAAAACTGTTTCATTTGACGAACTCTAAAAGGAGTAATATTGAGGCTATTACCACTTCTAAGTAGTGAAAATTGAAGCTTATTAAAAGAGCTTTACGATGCATTTTACCGAATTTATATATATACATATATACATATATAAACTTTTGAACTATATATATTTTCTGACTCAGCTCGACAAACTGAGTCAGAAAATGACAAAATTTTTTGAAAGTTGCGCCATGAGGACGGCTGCAATAGTTAGATTTTTATAAAATCTACTAAAGATCTGATGTAGTTAAGTGTTATTTTTTGACTAAATTTTAAATTTATTTATAATATTAAAGTTAGCAATCGATAATTTTCTTTTGTTTCAAAAAATTATTTTTTAAAAATAACATTTTTAATTTTACTCATTGTATATTTTACTAATGAAATATACAAAAATTTATATTACTAATCATAAACTATATCAAACAGGTGGAAGAATTCAACGTTTCAATCTCACAATTTGTCGCTAACTTAAAAGGAGATAGAGAAAAAGCATCAGATATTGTTTTAAACAATGAATTATTGTTAATGCAGCAATTAAACTATCATTTAACTATCCACAATCCTTACAGACCGGTAGAAGGTTTTATGATTGACATCAAAGTGAGTATCAAGCTTATATTAGACTTGTTATTTAATAGCCAGTTGGTTCATTTTTTATTTTATTAAATTAATTAATTTTATTTTTTTAGACACGATACAGTACTCTAGAAAATCCAGAAAGATTGAGGCCTCACATTGATGATTTTCTGGAAAAAGTATTTCTCACAGACAGTGTACTGCTCTATGCACCTAGTCAAATAGCTCTGGCAGCTGTGCTTCATGCAACGTCCAAAATTTCTGCTAATTTAGATAATTACGTCACGGATATTTTATTTTCTGCTGAGCAGATTAGTGGAATTATTGAAGCTGTACGAAGTAAGTTGATTTAATATTAATAAATTTTTTTTTTTTTATTTTAAAAATACTATTTTTTTTTTAATTTTTAAACTAGAAATCCGATCTATGGCCAAAAGTATCGAAATACCTAATAAAGAAATAGTTAAAGCCCTTGAAAAGAAATTAGAAAAATGTCGAAACCAAGAAAATAATCCCGACAGCGAAATGTAAGTTATTAAAAAAGCTTATAAAATATTTTTAATACTTGTAATTAATAAAAAAAAAAATTTTTTTTATTATTATATTATATTTTTCAGATACAAAAAAAGAATGCAAGAAATGTTGGATGAAGAAGACATACACGATGATGATAGATACGCTAAAATCGTGAAAAACCAAGCAGCCAACGACGAAAAAATTCTAGGAGTTGATAGAATTAATTAGCCTTCAATTTTCCTAATTTTTCCTGAGTTCCTCCGTTAAAATTTCCCAGGTTTTTCTTTTTAAATATATTTTCTTAATTTAATAAGTAAAAAAGAGAGTAAATATAATATGAAATCTCGGATGTGTATTTAATTATAAATGCACAATTAAAAAAATATAAGTCAATTTAATAATAACTGGTTATTGTTATTGAACATATATATTTAATATTAAAAAAAAAATTATTTTTTGAGTATACAATTGTTCACACTAAGTACATTCCGGAATAGTTCCTTTTAAATTTTAAATCAACATTTAAAATTTTTAATTTTTCGTTAATAAAAATGATTAAAATAGAGGAGAAAAAACTAAATAGTAAGAAAAAGGAAACTTAGGTTGGAATTCAGTACTCTCGTTTTTTATTTTAAAATTAACACTCTTTCCCATTTTTAACAATTTTTTGGCCATTTTCCAATTACTATCCCAAACTGCGTAATGTAACAGAGAATTGATTAAATCATGTAACTTTTTCTTTTGTTCAGCACTAATACTAAATTTGGTCCACAGGCGCGCGACTTTCAATTTTCTGTATTTACTTGTTCGATATTTTCTCAATAATTTTTTAATTTTTTTCACATTATCGGAGATGATAGCACTGATTATACTTTTTCTGGCCTTCATGATTGTTAACTTATTACTTTCTTTGAAAAATCACTAAACTTTTTCACAAAAACGTCGATTTTTCTTTATTTAAACGGAAAGAAGTTAGTTTTTCACTTTTCGAACTGAAGCTAAAGTCTTTACTTGAGAGACAGCACTTCAATAATTGTCGCTTGAAATTGAGATGTGACAACTAGAGATTCTAATGAAGAACTAACTAGGATCTGGAATTTTCGATACTTATATAGGGTAACATCCAGTCTCAGGTAGAAGCCGCCACTATGAGGAGTCTATACCTGCCCCAAAATCTTCCACTATGGCTATGAGTACTTATTGTTGCAGGCAAGTAATTAAGGTCAATAGGGATGGTTAATGAGCATCATTAAATTATAATTTTGTCTTTTCCTCGTTTTACCTAGCCATGAAGCACAATGAAAGAATATTAGATTTTAATTTGCATTATAATTTTAACTTTTCTATTTCTAAATAACAAAAGAAGATGATATTAAAAATTAATTACTAATTTTTAAGCTGCCCAAATAGTTAGAATACAATCGTTGTAGATTATTCTGAACAAAAATCCTGTCGTCAATGAGGTTGACAAAATATTTTAAGTACACAAAGACGCACACTAAGTACGTTTAGAAATGGTTCTTTTTAAATTTTAAATAAAATTGATTTTTTTTCTCTTATTTTTTTTTTTTATTACATTATATCTAATGTTAGATATTTTTTTTTTGTTACATTATATCTAATAACTAATAAAAAAAAAATACCTAATAAAGAAATAGTAAAAGCCCTTGAAAAAAAATTTTAAAAATGTCGGAACCAAAAAAATAATCCTGACAGCGAAATGGAAGTTATTAAAAAAAGCTCATAAAATTTTTTTAATACTTACAATTAATAAAAAAAAATTTTTTTATCATATTAAATTTTTCAGATACAAAAAAAAATGCAAGAGATGTTGAATGAAGAAGACTTGCTCGATGACGACTGATACGCTAAAATCGTGAAAGACCAAGCAGCCAACAACGAAAAAATTCTAGGAGTCGATAGAATTAATTAGCCTTCACTTTTCCTAATTTTTCCTGAGTTCCTCCGTTAAAATTTCCCAGGTTTTTCTTTTAAAATACATTTTCTTAATTAAATAAGTAAAAAAGGGAGTAAATAAAAAATGAAATCACGGCAGTGTATTTAATTATAAATGCACAATTGAAAAAATATAAGTAAATTTAATAATAACTGATTATTGTTATTGAATATATATATAATTAATATCATAAAAAAAAAATTTGATATTTCTTCACGTATTTTGCCGTCGATAGTCCAAATGCGTAAGGTAGTTTATCGAATGCGGGACATTTTGGTACATTGATTGTCCTGGAAGATTTGTCGGTAAGGGCTGGACAATTGGTAAAGATGGTGGTAGTGCTAGAGGGTTCACATGTGATGGTAGTAATGGTGGTGTTGCTGCTTGTGGTTGTCCCGGGTAATTGAAAAACCTGGAACAGTGATTATTTTTCAAGTAAATTTTATTTATTCAATAAAAAATAAATCATTGCACTTAACTTACTCCATAATACTATCAAAAATTTTTATAATAATAATATAAATATTTCTGTTCGTTAGAAACTGTATACTTTCAGAAAAAATACACGGGGTGGAAGTTTTATGATTCATACAAATATCTTTAACAAAATAACATAGTAATTAAAATTTTATTTTCAGATTTTGTTAAATAATCATTCTTTTTAATCAAAGAAATAAAGATTACCGAGAAAAAAAATTTTTTCTATAGAAAAAATGAATAAAAATCGAAAAATTGCTCATAATGATAATTTTTAATGGTAATAATTTGTCTTTTTTTCACTTCGAAAAAAATTTTTTCTCTAAAAGCTATCCACAGTATCTTATAGAGAATGTCGTGTAGGCTTTTTGATTACATGAAATTAAAGGTAATTAAATTTTCTAAAGGAGCATTTGGGTGAAATTATTGAAAGAAATTTTTTTTGGTAGTTTCCTTAGGATTACTCCAGAACCAAACATGATACAAAATTTTTATGGTCAGATGTGAAAATTAGACACTTAGAGCTACAATTTGCTTATTTTATTTTGCTATACGATAATTTAGAATTTTTTTTATATCTCTTAATTATTGTGGCTGGTGTATTAAATAAATTTTAATTTCAGTGAATAACAGCGAAGAGGAGTTATCCATTGAGTAAGAGACTAAGCTTACCACAATCGATCGCCAACAAAAATAGGTCTTGGCGCTGGTATGCCTAGACTGGAGTAGTATTGCTGTGCAAACAGCTCAACATCATTAGTATACTTGCGTTTCCACTTGGTTCGTCGATTTTGGAACCAAATTTTGATCTGAAATCATGAAAAAATGTAAAAATACCAGCTAAATGATAAAATTGATGATTTGGCATGCTAATTTTTGCTAAAAAGGGCAAAATTAATGCTCCGGGTGAGGATCGAACTCACGACCTTAAGATTATGAGACTTACGCGCTGCCTACTGCGCTACCGAAGCACCCGAGCACTGAAAAATGCTTCTCATATTTATGCGCAAATTCTTTAGAAACAATTTCAATGTTCTGGCAAAAAATAATGGCATGACAAATGCGTGTTGTGTATCTTAATTATCGTACTATGACATTAAAATAAACGTTTTTATTCACGCGGGGGTGGGAGCCAGTCAAAAGCTTCGAGAGTGGCGAACGCGGCTCGTTAACTCTGAGAAATATTGTGACAGTTATGTCCCGGCTTGAAAGACTGAATTTTACGCTACTTTTCAGAGCTTTCAAGTTTTTTATTTATTGGAGTATTAAGACTAATTTTTTTTGTAGTCAGTTTTATTTTTTGAGCGAAATTTTCACTCCTAAATTTTTTCTGGAATTCATTTTTTTTTTTTATATTTATATATTGTAAAAAATTTTTGGAGTTAATTTTTATTTTTTTTATTGAATAAAAAAAATTTTTTTCACTTAAAATTAATAAAATTGCATCAATATTTCATTATTATTATTATTATTATTATTAATTTAAAAATTACAAAATAAGTATTTAGAGATTTATAAATTAATATAAAATTTTTCTTAATTTGATAAAAAAAAATTTTAAATATTTTAAAAAAATTCTATCAATATTTTTTAATAATTTCTTCAAATTGTTCCAGCAAATTAAAATTTATTTTACTCCAAAAACTTAGTTTTTCCACTAAAAAAAAAAAATAATTTTTTACAGCGTATTATCATTATTTCAGAGTTTAAAGGGTCGTTAGGTGCTAATTGATCGTAGACAGAAGCCCTAGACTCTTCTAATTATATGAAAAATAAAGTGAAGAATGGCGCCAGTGCATGAGCGGTACACATGTGGCCCTGTAAGTAAACATGCAGCCATAATTCATGCAGTATTGACCTAATGACTCTAAAATCTCTCGAGAATTACAGAAGAAAGGAGAATAAGAAAGGACGATAATTATTAATAAGCCCTTGTACTGAGAAATCCATAAATTTTCATTGTTCAATACAAATAGAAATGAGCCAGGTATTTAAAATTTAAAGATAAAACAAAATTATGTTATTTTATGAAAGACATTTGTCATTTTTATTTTAATAATGTCTTGTCATTTTTCAGAAGCTTTTTCCGGTTGTTAAAATTTAAATTCTTGTCTCTAAAATAAGAAATTATTAATTTAAAAATTTTATTTGTAAATTAAAATTGATTGGAGCGGAAGAACCCTTCTTTAGATCGTAAGTAATTTTTAAAAAATAATAAGAATAAAAAAAACTAATAAATGAGATGAAAAATTCTTAAAATTCTTATAACAGCGTGTTCAAAAAATTCTCAAGTGTTGATTTGTTAATTAACGAACTTGGTAATCATAAGTCATAACTAACTATAACGCATCATATGCAGTCTCGCCTTTTTGTCCTTCTCTGGCGACTGTCGTCCGGTTTTTTACTCCGCAATTAATTAAAATCAACCATTAAATATAAAAAGCAGTGACATTAATAAATTATTTTGCAATGTAAAAACTTGTGAATAATTACCTGAGTTTCTGTGAGTTTTAGACTCTTGCTCAGTTGCAGTCTCTTAGCAATACTCAGATATTTACTCCGCTCAAATTCAGTCTCCAGAGACTTTATTTGAGCGGCAGTAAATGCTGTACGCGGTCGTTTTTTCTTATCATCCTCGCTGGTTACGCTCCCACTTCTTTCGGTGATCTCTTTATCACTAGGATCTATCGCGGGGTTTATATTACCGCTGCTGCTGGTACAGACTTCTGGAAAAAATCTTTTATTTTAGTTAGAGTTACATTAAACTTAAAATTGGTTCAATTTTTTTATTTTTATTCAATAAAAAAATGAAAAATTCACTCCAAAAATTTTTACGGTGTAATAACAATAATAATAGAAAATTTTTCCTCAAAGACAAAATTTGTTCCGCCGGCCAATTACCGGGGAATCTTTATCGCACCAGCGACATTTTTATACGTGTCTTGCACGTTGTTTATGTTTATATTTATCCGCCTTTAAATGACTTGCCTAGAATGAAGAAAATAAATATAAATAAAACGGAATGAAGAGAGAGGGCCCATTTATGTGTTTGTGAATAACACACGTCGTGTCGTCTCATGTCTTACACTCGCCCGAAATGAAAAATGTCCCTCCAGCGACTCTTTGGTCCATCGAAAGACCGCTCTTATTCTAGCTCTGCTCCCTAAACGTGTACAATATATATTTATATTGCATTGGGAGCCTCATCCAGGGGATCAGCTTCTAATTATCCGCCCATTAATCATCTCAGCGGAAAAGAGTTAGTTTTTGTGTCACTAGAAACTCATCTACGATGACACATGCTCGATGGATCCTTTTTTTCACGGTTTTACATCACGGTTAAAATCAATTTCCCATTTTTCATTTTTTAAAACAGATAGTTTTTTTTCTGGTGAGTGAAATATTCTTGACATATTTTTACTCGACTACAAACATGTTGATGATTTATTTTTAATTTAGTTACTAGAAAAAACAATTTTATTTCTTTTATTTTCTATTTTTTATTTCTTTTAATCAATTAATTAATTTTTTTACTTACAAAAAATTAAAGGACCATTTTACCTAATTTTTTCCGCGCTAAAAAAATAAAAAAAATAAAAGCCGACGGAACTAAAATGTATGCGATATTTAAATGCGATAAATATCCCAAAAAATGTTTTCAATTTTTAATTTTATGTTTTTATCATTTTTTTGATCAATTTTAATCTATTAATTTTTTTTAATTAAAAAAAATGAAAGAACCATCTTACCCAATTTTTTCCGCACTAAAAAAATAAAATCCGACGGGACTAAAATATGTGCGATAAATATCCCAAACAACTTTTCAATTTTCAATTTTATATGCTTACAATTTTTTTTTAAATAATTTTTTGATCAATTTTAATCAATTAATTAATTTTTTTAATAACAAAAAATTAAAGGACCATTTTACCCAATTTTTTCCTTGTTACAGAAATAAAAAAAAAAAAAAATGAAAGACTGAACTAAAATGTGTGCGATGTCTAAACGCAATAAATATCCCAAAAAACTATTCGTAGCTAAATATTTCAGGGGCTACGAAGAAGCGTTTACTGGCTACTAATTGTCAGATGGCGACGTAATTGTCGCATTTCTCAAGATTTTTTAGCTGATGGCAACACGGGGCGTTACCGCAACTCCCGATCTAAGTGTAAGTCTAAAATCGTATATTAAGACTCGTTAAACTTGTTGTTTCTTTTCGTTTTATTGGACAAACATTTTATTTATCGCTCCGATAGTGACAACTCAATTTCTTTGAGGTAATAGAAATAGTAATGTAATTATAATTAAGCTAAATTATTTTCTACTGTATTAGAATGAGAGAAAGAGGTGAGACGGAAAAATAAAGCTATGTTAAAGAGTTTGAAACTGTTTAAGTGCAGGAATAGAACACACCACGCCTTATAGTTTACCTAATTGCTTTGAGCTGCGGTGAACTTGTCTCCTAATTATTCGTTGATTGATGGCTTTTTACGCATTCTACAAATATTTGATGCGCCTATTATAAACTCTTTAACGTCAGCTCTAATTAAATTGTCATTCTGCAAGTTATTAAGCGACGACTAAATCACAGTCAATTAAATTTGTTTCAACTGATTTATTTTTTTTTTTTTTTCTATTTTTTTCTTAATGAAGTCTTTAACTTTATATAAATTCAAAATTATCAATTAATATATAACCATTAAATTAATTTTATAAAAAATCTAAAACTCAATTTTTTACTCATAAATTTATAATAAAATAATATTATACAAATATTTATAATTAAAATTTTTCAATTTTTATTAAAAATAAAAATGACTAAAGTTGGAAAATATCAAATAATAATAAATCAAATATTTAATTTAAAAGAAAAAATATTAAATATTGAAAAAAATAATAAAAAGAAAAAAACTATTAAAATAAATAGATCTTTAAAGTGAAAAAGACTTTGATTAATTGCTATATAACGTTACGGACAATTAAAAAAACTTGTATAGTGATTACTTAAATCCAAACGCGTGCCTAGAAGTTTTTATCCTCAATATATTAAGTGAACTCGTTGGAAAAGTAAATATTTATATTCATTATTTCAAAACAACTTGGAATACTACCCTCAACATAAAAATCGGAAAGCTTTTAATTTATGAGGATAAAAATAAAAATCTAAGCCGTGTTTGATCATTAAAAAATAACCAATTAATAAAATACATTTAATCTGTTCTTTTTTTAAGGATATTTAATATTTGATGTTGATTTAATTAATAAAATATAAAGCACAGATATTAAATTTAATTTTGCAGAATCTAAGCGAAATCTAATCAGGGAACAAGGGAGTTTACCACCGGATTTCCATGGCAAAATTAGCAAGACAGATAAATACTGACGTGAGACCAAAAACATTGAGTAGGCGTGGAATCTGCAGGAAGCAATGGATCAAACAACTAACCAGGGGCCGTAAGTAGGGCTACAAACCACAAATGCTTCATATTTTATTATATTACTTTACTTATGTCTTCTGTACTTTGTTAAATACTCTATATCTTGTATTCACGCAACTCGATTCGGTTTCTCTACGATATTGTAGCTTCTAGAGAGCGCGGGTGGAATACTACGTTCAAGGGTGGGAATTTATCTCTATTGCTGTGAATTAATTCAGCAAAAAACGCCGTGCGTACTTGTACTCACTGTCACCTTTTCCTGCGATAAATTTTATGAGAAAAGTATGCCCTTTTCGTGAATCAAGTACATCCGCGGTACTATTCAATGAGTTCCGCAAAAAAAAAATTTACATCCTCCAGATTTTATTTAGACTGGTGAGTATAAGTGATTTTATTGAAAGTTTACTTTCAATTTTATTTAATTATTCATATTATGATTTTGATTAATTATATTTAGATAAGGTGAGTGTGAATGCAAAGAATATAAAATTGTTATTATTATTATTATTATTATTATTTTAATTTTTAAAAAATATATAATAATAATAGTAATCATAACTAGCAACCTTGTACTTTCTTCAATATTGACGTTTTTAAAGATATAAGCTCATCCCGATGTTATACTTATCAAGACCTTTCATTTGAGTACCCACATGCATTTTTGATATATTTTTCATATACTCATATATATAAATATATAAAATATATGAAAAATTGATGTGGGTACTCAAGTGAAAGGTCTCAATGAGTGTACCGTCGGGGTGAGCTTATATCTTTAAAAATGTCAATAGTTCTCAAGATACAAGGTCATTTCTTAATTATGGACATAATTTTAAGATATAAGCTCATCCCGATGTTACACTCATAAAGAGCTTTCATTTGAGTACCCACATGCATTTTTGATATATTTTTCATATATTCATATTTATAAATATACAAATATATAAAATATATGAAAAATTGATGTGGGTACACTAATGAAAGGTCTTGATGAGTGTAATGTCGGGATGAGCTTATATCTTTAAAAATGTCAATAGTTGACAAGATACAAGGTAATTTCTTAAGTATGTATGTAGAAATAGAGCATTTTCGAATGCAACCTAAATACTTATCATAATAAATTGACTATCGGTGAGAATGAAATGAAACTTTGAAAGGGTATAAATTCAAGTCAAGACCTTTGCAATGACATAAAATTTCATTTATAAAACCGATTTTATTATATTACTATCCTGGATACAAAATTTTTCTTACTCTTTTAATAATATGGATAATTGCAAATTTTTGCTTAAAATATTATTATTATTATTATTATTATTTTTATGATAATGTTAAATTAAATTTACCATAACTTATTCCAGGTTCTGACGAAGTAGATCCAATATCTGGATCTTCAAAAATTTCCATTTCATCTGTTGAAGACATTGATGAATCTGGTACCGTTAATCTTGTTTCTTGATCGTAAGCTACAAATTTATCGATAAAATTTTTTTTTTTTTCCCAATACATAATCATATAATTAATTATAAATTGCTTCATAAATTTTAAAGATACAAAAAATATAACACTCGTAAATTTTTTCCAAGAAAGTTTTAAAAGAAAATATCAATCTTATATTTTACTACGAACTTCTTCAAACCTTTTTTTTATTATTAAAAAATTAATTTAGAATTCTTTAACATAAACAAAACAATGAAATTTGATTCTATTAAAAAAAATACATTTTATTTTTTTCTAAATTATTATTCAATATTATAAAAACAATTTTTAAAAAAAAATTTTAAAAAACTTCATTAAAAAAATAATTATTAATACTTACATTCAAATGAATATAAATTATTAGAATCAATAAATTGATTAACAGGCGGATCTTTTCTTAAAATCCTTTCAATACTAAAAGCTGAAGATTTATTACTACTTAAATTAGTATTGCAATTAGAACTTTCATTAACACTTGTACTTTCTTCCATATTTAAAAAATAAAATCAACAATTATTATTATTATTATTTAATCACTAAGAATAAAAATCAAACAATAATAAAAATCACAACCGAAAAAAATGGAATAAAAAAATAACTTATTGATATTTAATAATAAATGAAAGCGAATGACTCCCTTGTCATCGAGATTAGTCTCAGTTAAGCACTAACTGTAAACTGTAAAGATAAAGATCATCGAGGATCAGTAGAGGACAATATTTTATAAATTTGCCAGAAAAAAAATTTTTTTTTATTTCTAGTCAACTTACAACTAAAGTGGAAGGGTGAGAGTGAGGCGTAAACCGAAAATCCCACGTGCTGATGACGTACCAAGTGGATGGACCAATGATGCTGGATACTGGGCGTTACTTGGCAAAATCATCAACTCGAGATGATGATTTAGGGGTGAGCAGTTGAGCTTTTAATAATCATATAGTCAAGTGTTAACTTTAACTAACTGTATATGCATATAGTTATCATATAATAGAGCAGAATGGTTAAATGACAGTAATGAAGTCTCGATAAATTTTGCATGTTCATTTTAACATCTCGCCGCCTAACCGTGGCGTGTAGCTTAATAAACTATTCGACTATACTTAACTTTACACCGTCGTATAAAGTTTCTCTACTTACTATTATTAATACTAACTACTAAGACATTAATTTTATTCACTTACAATTTAGATTTTGCATCGTTATTATTTTATTATTTTTATCTCTAGATACATAATTAAAAAATGAGCTTGTATCTTGTGAAATATTGACATTTTTTAAGATATAAGATCATCTTGATGTTACACTTATCGAGACCTTTCGTTTGAGTACCCACATCAATTTTTCATATATTTTATATATTTATATATATACCATATATATAAAATATATAAAAAAATGTCATGTTGGTACTCAAATGAAAGGTCTCGATGAATCTAATGTTGGGATGAGTTTATATCTTAAAAAATGTCAATAATTAAGAAATGGCATTGTATCTTGTGAACCATTGACATTTTCAAAGATATAAGCTTATCCCGATGTTACACACATCGATACCTTTCATTTGAGTACCCACATCAATTTTTCATATATTTTACATATTTATATATATGAATATATGAAAAATATATCAAAAATGCATGTGGGTACTCAAATGAAAGCTCTTGATGAGTGTAACATCGCGATGAGCTTATATCATTAAAAACGTCATTATATAAGACTTTACAGCGCAATTTAACAAACTTCATTATTTAATAAAGCAAAATTTTATTTATTCAAGTTCACAAGTCACGGCAGTCACGTAGTGACTGCAAGGTTGCAATTTTTATATTATTTTAATAATAATAAAAAAATAAAAATATTTATTTAAATGATTAAATAGTTTATTTAATCTTTCTACAGTGCGGATAGCCTCAATTTAATGCAATTAATTTAACAAAAAATAATTGTTATTGTTTTTTTTAATTTTAGTTATTTTTTAAAACCTTACTTGGTCCAATTCCAATTAATCGCAATTATTTACAAGCCTACTTAAAATATTTTTACTCAAATAATTATCGAGTAATACGCTACCATTAAATTAATCTTTTAAAAAATCTAACACTTTCAATTTTTTACTCACAAATTTATAATTAAATTTACTTATTACCATAAATTACTAGAGTAATTAACAAAATTATCAAGTAAAAATATTTTGGTAGACCTGTTGGTTTTTTCTTAAACTTGATAAATTAATTATTTAATTTAAAATGTTAATTTCACATCTGCTGAGTTGAGTTTCCGTTCCACGTGTTGTTTTCATCGTCATCGTCGTCCCCGGAGTGTAATCGATGGACGTTACCTCTTGCTCTTACAGTAGTGCTTGACCCGCCGAGCGTCCTCCTAATCGAACTATTTCAATAATAAATAATGCATGTTAATAGTAATAAGAAATTAATTACTCGTTAAACATAGAAAATTTACCCAGGTTGACTAACATTAGGGCGCGAACCAGAAGAATAGACTCCACCGGTTCGTGACTCTCCAGTGGAACCTCTGGAATCGCTAGTGCGGTCATTGGAACCTCTGTTTCCCGAAAAATACCCTGTTATGTAGTTAAAGACAGTAACCAGAGGTGCGAATAGCGCCCACATAAATCTTGAAATGAAATTTGTGCCGTCTGATGGAATTATCGCTGATGGTTTTGACTGAAATAATAATAATAATAATAATAATAATAATAATAATAATTAAATTCATAATTTTATAACAATAATAACTAATAGCAACCATGCAGTCACCACGTGACTACCGTGACATGAACTATAAATAAATAAAATTTTGCTTAATTAAATAATGACTTTTGTTAAATTGTACTGTACTTTCTTAACTATTGACGTTTTTAAAAATATAAGCTCATCCCGATATTACACTCATCAAGAGCTTTCATTTGAGTACCCACATGCATTTTTGATATATTTTTCATATATACATATATATAATTTATATAAATATATAAAATATATCAAAAATTCATGTGAGTACTCAAATGAAAGCTCTCGATGAGTGTAACATTGAGATGAGCTTATATCTTTAAAAATCTCAATAGTTCACAAGATACAATGTCAATTCTTAATTATTGACATTTTTCAAGATATAAACTCATTTCGATGTTATACTCATCAAGAGCTTTCATTTGAGTACCCACATGCATTTTTGATATATTTTTCATATATACATATATATAATATATATAAAATATATGAAAAATTGATGTGGGTACTCAAATGAAAGCTCTCGATGAGTGTAATGTCGGGGTGAGTTTGTATCTTTAAAAATGTCAGTAGTTCACAAGATACAAGGTCATTTCTTAACTATCTATCTAGAGATAGATTTTTTCTTATTCTCTGAATCAAAGATAATAATAATAAAATTTTGATTATTATTATTATTATTATTTAAGATAGTATTATAATAATAGAATTTCACATTAAAAAAAAAATTTTAATTACATTTTTAATCGGTAAAATAAGCACAACAGCAGTAGGAACAAGTTCAAGCTCCACAAGTGTCTTATCATCATCCTCTTGACTTAAATCCTTCCTGGGGAACGACGTGGACATTGAAAATTGCTGGAATGGTAGCTCGATATTATTAACAACATAAGCTCTTAATTCTCTGAGTGTACTCGTCGATTGGAATGAACCAGTGTGTGGGTTTCCAGAAGGCAATCTGAACTGTATGCGAGCTGTTCCGTCAGCAAGGAACGCCCTAGATGGTGGAGGCACTGCTGGACGCTCCTCTGTGTTATTTTGTTGCTAGAATTTATCATTTTCAAATAATTTAAACTTGTAGGCAATATTTTATAGTAATTAATTAATTAATTATTAAGTTACCAGCAATGCTTGCTCGCGTTGTTTTCGCTCAATTTTATCCTGAGCAATTTGAGCCCTGATCCTCTCCCTAGCTTCCAATTCAGCTGCTTTTTCCTTCATTCGTTCTTCATGGGCTAATTTCAACTCTAAATCCTGTTGCTTGCGCTTGGCGCTTTGGACATTTTTACCCATCTCCCGTCGCTCTATTTCTCTCAATCTTTCTTTTTCTCGTTCTTGCTCCAATCGCTGTTTTTTTTGTAGTTCGATTAATTTTTTAGCCCGTTCTATTTTTTCCTAAAAAAAAATCAATAATTAGAAAAATTACAATTTATAAATTAGTTGAAAAAAATTTTAATACTTTAAATTAAAAATTAAATGTATTGAATAAAAATTCAAATATATTGATAAAAATATAAATGTAAAAAAATTACTTCAGCGGATATTGAACTATCTACATTAGCATTAGCATTAGCACCCGATGATTCTGTGGTACTTTCAGGAACATTGTTATTACTCGTAGAAGTCTGGGGAGTATTTGAAACAGTAGCCTCAGCACTGGATTGTTCCATCTTTATAAAGTTATTTGACGAGTCCCTTTTTCCAGCCTTTACCAAAACTGAGTCTATCTTATCCTTTAAACTCGAGGGAGTGACAGTTCCTGCGACTATCTCCAGTGGCTTGCCATTGTCACCAATAAAAAACAATGATGGTACTGGTACCAATTGATCTAATCAATTTTACATTAAGAAAAAAATTTTCTATAAAATCTTACTTTTAGACATAAAAAAATATGAAAATTTTTATAATTTTTCTTATTGAAAAAATCATTTTAAAAAAAATGTTACTTATGGAAAATTAGTAATTTAATTTAATTATTGAAAAAAAAATAAAAATTGAAGGTCAGATAATTTTATTAACATAAAAAAATTATTATTATTAATTTTTATTGTTTTAAAAATTAAAAAATTATCAGCTGTTTGCTAATAATTGAACTTTAATTTTTTATGATACTGACATCAGCTGACACCTGTCAATTCTAAAAATTTTTATTAATTTTCACGTATGGAATTTTGATGGCATTTAATTTAGCTGTCACTTGACAATTTTTTGATTTTCATTAATAAAAAAATTTATTATAAAAAATTATTTTAAAAAAATTGCATTTTTAATTTGTTAAAATTTCTACAAGTCCATTTTTTTAATATTTTTTTTTTGCCATAATTTATTTAATAAAAAAAATTAAAAAATTGTCAACCGACTGCTAACTTTAATGTCATGGAATTTTTTGATTAAATTTCTTAATAATTTAATTGTTATAAAGTTCTAATATTCTAAAAAAATTTCTAATGTCTGTCAACATAATTTTTTGACAGTTGAAAAAAAAGGATACAAATTTGAGCAAAAAATTTGTAAGACTCGCTGCCAGATTCGAGTTTTATTGCAACAAATTCATCTTTCTCCAAGGATGATGACACTTCTGGTGTATCGATCACCCGTGACGTTTCCTTTGATGCATCATCCTCACCTGCAATTACAATTGCAATGAGTAATCATATTTATTCACCAATAAATAAATAAAGATCGTGAAAGATAAAGATAAAAAATCTTGGAATAATTTATGGCCCTACAAAGATGACATTTAAAAATATATAACCTACCAGCAATAAAAACTACAAAGATTGCGTTTTTGGACTTAGAAGTCGCGACAGCATCGTTAATGCTTCCAGGAAACCACTTCATTTTTCTAACAAATAAATATTTAAATAATTATCTGAATTTTAAATCACAAAATTTTGTTTATCTCCCGAAAACGTTTGCTGACGTAATTAAAGTATTATTTAGCTGTCGATCATATGAACACGATAATTTGACACACAAACACAATAGCCATTAAATAAACAGTAATTATATCAATATTTTTTATTTGGGTACATATTTTTATTAAAAGACGAGCGATGGCGCTACTTGTTTGTTTTTAAATTTTTTTTTCACACTTTTTTAATCACTTTTCAAAATTAAATAAAAAAAACAAATAATATTAAAATCAGCTGTTCACTAATTTTTTTAATAAATAAATTGCTGCATAAAAAAAAATAAGAAAAATTGGATATTTTTTTAAATGTCGGCAAACTTAATTTTGATTTTTAATTAAAAAATTCCACGTTTAGAAATTAAAAAAAAAATTACAAGTGCAAACTCTTAATTAATAATGAATTTTTAATATGACATTGTTCGCAGTCACTTAATAATTTTATAATTTTATTTAATAAACAAATTTGTTGAAAAAAATTATTTTTAAAAAATTGCATTTATAATTTTTTTAAATTTCTACATGTCAATATTTTTTTTTCATTATTTTTGCCACAATTTGTTTGTTAAAAAAAAATCTAAATATCTGTTAAATTAATTATCATATTTTATTAAAATAAAGTTAGCCGACATCTAAAAATTTTTATGATTTTATTTATTAAAGAATTACTTATTACAAAAAAAATTTTTTTGCAGTTGTTAAAAGCTTCAAAAACTACAAGTGCAATTTTTTAAAAATATTTTTTAGCTTTTTAATAAATTAAGCGCAATAAAAAAACAAAAATGTCGGCTAACTTTATTATTATTCATATTTTTAATAAATTTGTCAGAGATCAGCTGATTTAAATATTTTCCCACCAGGTGGCAGGAGTTGTAAAAAACTTTAAATTTCCCGCAATTTAATTTCAAAACAACTCCGTTAGATGTCAGTGTCAGTAAATTCAATAAACACAAAGGTGTATTACATCTTCTGGAAATAATCTCACAGACTACAGCCCGAGTTTCATCTATACAAATTTTAATGCGTATTTTTTCGGCTTCCTCACTGTTAAATTTACAAATCAGGTAAAAAAACTAACAAATTACTTTTTAATTACCCGCTTTAATAACCAATTGCTCTTCTTGAGACACCAACCTAGCAATGAAACAATAAAAATCCGCCTCATTGTTTTATAATCATAAATATAAATAATTATATTTATCGTATCGTAATCGGTGGTCGTGTTTACCACGTTGGTGGTTTAGAAATGGCGGAAATAATATAATTACATACCCGTAAATTAGGTTATCTTTAATTGTAACAATTTATTCCAGACAAGGTGTTGAAAATATATTGTGAGCGGTTGAATTTTGACAGCCGGTTCAATAATGGAGACAGAGTCAAGGCGAAAAGGACCCAGGAGTCCAAGCGCAGATTCAGACGACTCGTCACGGAGAAGACGCTCGAGGAAGTACGACCGCGACAGGTCGCCGTCGCCTAGACGCTCGAGGTACAGAAGGTCCAGGTCCCGAGGTCGGTCCGGCTCACGAGAGAGAAGGAGAAAAGACCCGGCGAGGAACTCTCAGGACTGGAACAAGTCTGGGCAGAACCAGGCCCAGACCCCGACAGCTGCTGCTTATGTACCGCCGGTTCTCAATCAATATCAGGTATAAATCTAGAGCAGAGATTATAGCTCCGGTGGACTCTAGCTTGTTATTTTATTTAATTATTTATTCTTTTTTATCTATCGATTGTGTTTGACATGACATTAAAGTTAACAGTTACTTCACAATTTTTTTATTTTATTTAACAAAGAAATTTGTTCCAAAAAATCATTCTTAAAAAATAGCATTTTTTAATTTAACTTATTCATTAAAATAATCAAATATCTGCTTAATTAATTTTAATAAAGTTAGCAATCACTTGAGCATTTTATTAATTTTATTTAACAAACAAATTTGTTCCAAAAAATCATTCTTAAAAAATAGCATTTTTTAATTTAATTTATTTGTTAAAATGATTGAATATCTACTAAATTACTTTTAATAAAGTAACCAGTCACTTTACCATTTTATTAATTTTATATGATAAATGAATTCGTTCCAAAAAATTATTTATAAAAAATTGTATTTTTTATTTTTTTAAATCTCTACATCTCAATTTTTTTTCCGTAATTTATTTGTTACAAAAATTCTAAAAATTATCAAGTAACTTAATTTTATCGGCTAATTTAATTTTCATCTAAATTAATTTTCATGGATTAGATTTGACATTTTATTTATGACTTATAGGCTCCGCCGCCGCCAAACACCACTCAGCCACCTCCACAGATTCAACCGTACAATCAGGGATATAACTACAATTATAATTACAATCAGGGGTACGAGTACGGTTACCAACAACCGGCTGGCTATCGCAGTGTAAGTTGATCGCTTGATTAATTAATCTTTGATTATTTTTCTTTATTTAGTATCATAACATAAGTTTGCGGTTTCAATAAGGTGGTCATTGCTTTTTTAGGAAAAAAAATTTTTTATTTAAGTTTGACAATTTTTTTGAGTTGAAAAAATTTTGTTAAAAAAATTTTGAGGTTAATTTTTTCTAATCTTTTTATTTTACTATAATTTAATAAAAAAATTTAAATCATAAATAGATTTATAATTTTGCCATCTTGTAGATGATAAAAAAAAAATTCTGGAGGTATTTTTTATAAATTAATTAAATAAAAATAAATAAATAAATCTTCAGGTGAGATGGTAATTTAAAATGGCGGATTAAGAAGCCATTAATCACATCAATTTTAAACATACTGAAGTTAGCTGACTTAAAATTTTCATAACAAAAAAATTACATTAAAAAATATCACCAATAATGTTTTTTTTTTTTAATTTTTAATTGTGGAATTTTTTTCTATAATAATTAAATTGATATTAAACTATAAAAAAAATTTTTATTGTCCGTAAAACTTCAGTATTTCTTTTTAGAAGCCTAAAAAAATTAATTTTTTTACTGATAAAATTTTTTAAGTCTTAAAAATATTTTTTTCCACTCAAAAAAAATTTATTTTTACAATTTATCTAATTACATGACCACCTTGTTAAAAAAAAATAATAAATAAACGAAGAGTCGGCTGCGTTCCTGTAAATAAAAATTTTAATCGGCAAGTTTATAAATTAACCAAAAAGTCTATAAAAATATATATCTACATGAATATTTATCGTGTATACAAGGTACTTTTTACGTATATAATCAGCTGAACATATTGCGTAATGTCGTAATTACCATCAAAGCAGTAAGTATTCACCGCGTTATTTTATTTTATTGATAAGGTTGATGATTCGCCGTAAATGATTAAATAATATCAAGAATTGCAAGGTAAGAAAATCCACAGGATTATAATTTTTTTTTTTTTAACACCTTCACCGTAGCGATCGTTGATTGTACCAACAATATTTATAGGATTACCCACCACCTAATTGGCAAGGAGGACAAGTACCATACAATAATCAGCCAGCACCCGTTCCGCCCGCAATGACGCCAGCGATTGATCCACCGCGACCTGTTGAAACTGCTCCTTCTATCGGAGCTGTTTCTCGTCCTGAGGAGAGCAAAAAAGAAGGTTCGTTTTAGTTAATTTAAAAAAAAATTAATTACTCTGTTATTTTCCTTGATTTTGATTAAATTAATTATATTTTAGCTATTGCAGCTGAAAAAAAACAACAACAAGCGACGTTGTTGAAACAACGAGAGGAATATGTTAGAAAAACTACGACCTTGCAAAGAGAGTTAGAAATATTAAGACAGCAGTGTGATGAAATTGGTAAAGAAGATGGTCGTGAAAATCGTATTGTCAAAGAAAATCAAAAGCTACAGGTAAATTTTTTTTTTAATTGTTATTTGAAATCAAAATAATTATTAGCTGCAAATTTATCAGGAGAAAATATATTGGTCCTAAAAATAAATTTTTCAAACAAAAGTTCTAAATTTAATTTTATAAAAAAAATGTTTTTTATCATTTTTTTATATAGTCAATATTTTGTATCTTATGAAATATTGACATTTTTAATGATATAAGCTCATCCCGATGTTACACTCATCGATACCTTTCATTTGAATACCCACATCAATTTTTCATGTATTTATATATATTATATATATATTATATATATGTATAAGCTTATATCTTTAAAATATATATTATATATATGTATATATGAAAAATATATCAAAAATGCATGTGGGTACTCGAATGAAAGCTCTTGATGAGAGTAACATCGGGATGAATTTATATCTTTAAAATATATATGTATTTGATATTACGGCGAAAATATTGACCCTATAAAAAAATTTTGAAACAAAAGTTCTAAATTTAATTTTATAAGAGAAATATTTCTTATGATTTTTTTATAGTCATATATTTTTACAGTAATTTCAAAAATGAAAATCATAATTATTAAAAAATTGGAATCTTTTATTATATTAATGCTAATTTTGTAATTACAGCGAAAATATTGGTTCGTTAGAAAAATCATAAATATTTTTTTTACAAAATTACATTTTGAACAACTTTTGTTCAAAACATTTTTTTTTAAGACCAATATTTTCGCCTTAATATTAAAAATTCAATTTAAAAAAATCTAGGCCATATTATCAATATTTTATTTTCTAGGTTGAAATTCAAAATAAAATGAAGTCAATTCACAATGTAATTGACATGTTAACCGGAATAATCGGCGACAAGGCGACAGTCGATGACCTGAGAATAAAATATAAGTCAGACGCACCATTGAAGCGCGGGAAGAGTCCTAAAGAGGACTTTCCCAAAGCTAAATTAATGGAGTCTCCAACAAAATCCTCGAGCTCGGAGGGAGACCGCGAGGCTAAAGCCGAGCGCGAGCGTAAGCTAAGGTTAAACGAAGAGGATTCTAAGCCAACTTACAATTTTGTACATTATGACCCGGAAATGCATTGGTGTAAGGTCTGCGATATCTTTCCTAAAACAGCTAAGGAATATTTGAATCATCTTCACTCCAATGAGCATAAAGAAACTTGTCTGGTTAGTTCATTAATTATTTTTTTTTTAATAATTATTTTTTTAGTTTTTAATATAAATTGTAAGCATAGTTTTAATTGTTAATTCTTCAGCGAATAATTAACATTTTTAAGTACTGTGTACGGTGAGACAGTAATGCAAATTTAGATGAAATTTTTTTAAAATTATTTTTAATTAATTCATTCTAATAAATTTTTATTTTGTTTATTTAGGAAAGGAAGATCGTGGATATGCCCTGGCACAAACGTAATGGCGAAGGAACGGAAAAGGAAGTACCGTATTACCCCGGTCTACCGACTAAAAGGACTCCCATTAAAGGTATGCCTTATAAAACAAGTATTTATTTTTACTAATTAGTATTATTATAATAATTTGTAGCATTTGCACTGTCACAAGTTACTTTTTAATAAGTATTTTTAATTCTATGGTATGTATTGAAGATGGGAATTATTTTAGAATTGATTAAAAATTATTCATCAGTTCCTTGATAATTTTATTACATCGTTTTTTTTGTTTAAAAATTTTTTTTTGATTCAAAATAATTTATTAAAATTTTTTCTAAAAAATTTTAATAAATTTTTTTAGAAAAAATTTAAATACATTTTTTTTAGTTTTTTTTTATGAAGAAAAAAAATTTTTTTAATTATTCACACTTGAAAAAAAAAATAAAAAAAAAATTTTTAAGCAAAAATTTCAAGAAAATTTCGGAGAAAAATTTTAAAGAAGAAAGAAGAAAAAGTTTCAATTTAAATAAAAAAAAAGTGAAATAATTATTTTGGTGATAAATAATGTGAAGTGTTAAGTGATATGTGTATTATATTTTTAATTAATTAATTATAATATATTGTAATTATTAATTAATAATTTAAGTAAATATTAGTTTATAAGTTAAATTATTTAGCTAGTTATAATTGTATTTATGTTGTACTGCAAAAAATGTAATGTATTAAAAATGGCTATAAATAAAAGACTAATGGAGAAAATTTAGTAACTTTCAGAGAAACATTAAAAAGATACACCGAGTGGAAAAAGGAGAAGATAAATAAATAACTAAAAAATTAATTAGAAAATATAATAAAGAGCAATAGGAGACTCTATCAGCATTGTAATAGTTATCTTTGTTTTTTCAGTGCATTGATTATGTATCGTGGCTGAGCATAAGGTCATTCTTTATGAACTTACGAATAATAGCTAATTTATAATTGGGTTTGTTTTTTGACTAATATCATATTTTTTATTTTTGCTTATAGGCTTGCAATTCTTCAGCCCGGCTACTGCTTGGTACTGCAGACTCTGCGATTCTTGGATAGGCGATCTCCACTGTGCTAGTCTTCATCTTAAGTCTAAACGTCATTCTGAAAACTTTTGTGTAAGTACATAATTAAGGAATGACTTTATATCTGGAGAACTATTGAGATTTTTTAAGATATAAGCTCTTCCCGTTACACTCATCAAGACCTTTCATTTGAGTACCCACATCAATTTTTTATATATTATATATATGTATATATGAAAAATATATCAAAAATGCATGTGGGTACTCAAATGAAAGCTCTTGATGAGTGTAACATCAGGATGAGCTTATATCTTTAAAAACGTCAATAGTTGAGAAAGTACAGTGCAATTTAACAAAAATAATTAAGAAATGGCCTTGTATCTTGTCAACTATTTACATTTTTTATGATATAAGCTCATTCCGATGTTACACTCATCAAGACCTTTCATTTGAGTACCCACATCAATTTTTCATATATTTTATATATTTATATATATATATATATGAAAAATATATAAAAAATATATGTGGGGACTCAAATGAAAGGTCTCGATTAGT